AGGGTCTTGGCAGTGTACAGTGGTGGCGAACCTATGGCAAGCTGGCTCTTTTTTTTCCCTCTCTCTTGTTTCTTTTTTGTTGTGGTGGTGATGTGTTTTTTTTTTTTTTTTTTTCTCCCTCATTGTCTGATCTTGTTTTTGTATGAGTATGAATGTGGTTTCTAGCCTCTTTGTAGTCATTGTTCTGTTCTTTTTATCACTTCCTTCTCTCTTTCCCTCCAGTCTTCTGCACCAGTTTCCCAAAGTTAGCATGATCCCCCTTTGCCCTTCAGCCTTACTTCTAATCTCTTCCTCTTCTACTGCTCTATTTTTCCCTACCCCTTTTAAATTTTAACCCCTGAGGGTAAAATTGACATATTAAGGACTTATGTACTGCATATAATTTTCTAGTCTGTTTTAGATTTTGTTATAAACCACAAATCTAGTTCATATAGTTAAAGGTGGCGTATTAATAATTACCTCAGTCTGTCAGTTTTTAAGCTGTGATTGATGCTGCTGTTATTGCTGATGGTATCAGTTTAGCCAAAAGTGACTTAATTGTTCTCAACAGCTATTCTGCCTGGTATTCCAAGACTGAGATTGAATAAGGGTCATAGAAAATACTGTGACACAGTGCCAAATAACCAAGGGATGGGCCAAACAGGCAGCAACTTCTCATTCCCAACAAATTGAAGATGTAGGATCTTGAAACAGACTCAAAACCCCAAAAAGCAGTTACACCTGGAAGATATCTTGGAGAACTAGTCATTTCCTAAGGCTTCTAAATACTAGCAACCCACCATAGGCAATTTACAAGATCACCCCAGGAATTAAACTGAAAAAAAAAAAAAAAAGAAAGGAAAATGAGAAGGATTAAGATAGTTCTCATGGGACCCTGTGTTAGGTCTCAAAAGTGGGTTATTATAAAAGATCAAGCCTTGGGGCTGGGGATCTAGCTTAGGGGCACAGTGCCTGCCTGGCAAATGCGAGGTCGTGAGTTTGATTCCCGGTACCAGAAAAAAAAACAAAAACAAAAACAAAAAAAGATCAAGCCTGGCTAATCCCTACTGTCTTTGCCTTCTGGTTTCAGATACCATCTGCCAGGATATGATGCATCAGAAAGGGCCTTTGCCCCAATTTCTGTGGTTTGGACTTCCATCCTCAGAAATTATCAACTGAGTAAACTTCTTTATGAGGAACCCAACCTCGGACATTTCATTATAACAACAGAAAGTAACAGGTGGTTGGACTTAATGACCTAAAAAAAAGCCCAGCTCTATTGAGATATAACTTAGATATTATGCGTGTCACCTTTTTAAAGTGTACAGTGACTTTTCATATATTTGCAAGGATGTACAATCATGACCACAGTCAATTTCAGAACATTTTTATTGCCCCCTAAAAACCACACTCATTAGAAGTCATTCTTCTCCACAATAATAATAAAGGAGAAAAATTATAACAATATACTGTCATAAAGTTGGTAGCGTCACTACTGTTATGTTTTGAGGCCATTATTACATAAAATAAAGATCACTTGAACATAAGCACTGTAGTGCCACCACAGTTACTCAGATCACTGAGAGGACTCTTAAGTGATTAACAGGTGGATAGCTTATACATTATGGATATTATGGGCTACAGGGATGATTCTTTTCCTAAGCAGGATAGAGTGAGTAGCATGAGATTTGATCACACTACCTAGAATGGTGTGCCTTTTAAAATTATAAATTATTTATTTGTGGTTTTTTCTGTTCAACATTGCCGTTGTTGACAGTGGGTAACTGAAACTGTGGAAAGTGAAACCAGAGTCATGTGGGACTATTGTCCATGGGTTTCTGTTATTGTCTAAACAGCGGGACAAATGATGTCTGTCTCTTCTCAAACCAAGGACTCCCATTACCCTTGTATCAGTTTTTGCTTCTAGGCTTTTCAGTTGGTTTTAATTCTGTCCTCTGATTTTTATAATGGTTTGCTTCTACCAGCTTATTTTTGTTTTCTTCTTCTTTTTGAACATAAGTGTATATATGCATTCAGTCTTTTTTATATTGGGAACAGTTCATTCAATTTTAGTTGTCTGTGTCACTTGGGTAGCAACAGAGTTGTTTCTGAAGCCCAACTGTGGTTTCATAAAATTTTTTTCTATATTCCACCAATACCTGTAACATAACGTGTGAACAATGTGTGCTCAGTCATTCTGTAATTATAAGCCCTCCTTGTTCCTTCAATTATCTTCTCTTAGTATCTTTGGTTCTTCATCCTGGAACTGACTCTCCCACTAGCTAGCTTTATATTCTATTCACTATTAAATGCTGCTGCAATAATGACATGGGAATAGCCCTTGGACCTATCTTTTTCTTTTTATAGGCACCTTGGGTGCAGGCATCCCAGAACTAAATTACTGTAATAGCCTTTTTGCTATTTTTTCCAGACCCTAGTTTCTCTATTAGGCCGTGTATTCCACTACTAGATTAATCCCCCTCAAGTACCTTTCTGGTGAAGTCAGTTTCCTCACTCAACTTCCCTCTTGGTCTGCCTTTGCTTTTCTGCTGGTCTGGAATCTCTAATTCACAGCAATTACTGATTGCACTTCCCTCTTCTTTTTTAAACTTACTTTTGCATCCTTTTGATATTTAAACATTTAGTTTGTCCAGTAACCAAGTCCATGGTTAACGGTCCTTGTTTTTTTGTCTTTGTTTTGGACATACTGCTTTTTATAGGCACTGTTCTATTTGGGAGCTGTTGTTTATATTTAACTTACGGTGCTTTTCCTTTCCTACCTATGACAGTTTTAGGTATCTTGCAAGTCTACTTGGCTGAGAGATCTATACAAGTTTTTAGGAGATGTATACTGTCATTCTTCAATTTTTAAAATGCAAAAGCATGTCCTTATGTCAATTATGTTTTAAGATTTTATTTTTTGCTTTATGCCATGTTTTAAAGACAGTGTTCTCAGTACATTAAGATGGAATTTGGCAACTATTCCTACAAATATTATATCTAGTTTATGGAGTATTAGCCACCTGATATGTCAGATTCTCTCAAGGGAAGGATTCACTTCCTGGATGCTGGCTAGTCATTTTGTGAAGGTGTATATTAGCCTTAAAGCCAGTACTTACCACCTAATATGTTAAGATCCTTGACAATTTAAAAGAGACTAGCACTCAGAATAAGGGATAGTGATTTGGTGATTTCCCCTTTTTTCCAAAGCTGTGCTTTTGTTGCTGACCTACTCTTAAGAAAATTTTCTTCCTATGATTTCCATGTCTTTCCAAGTTTTGGGAGAGGAAGGAGGATTATTGGGGCAGAGCTTGGATGAGAAAGGACATAAGGCAGAAGGCAGCTTGCAAGCCCTTCTGAGACAGTAGCTAGCTTTCTTATTTCCCTGCCTACTTTCTTTTTTACATGAGAGAAGAGAATTGGTTTAAGAAAGACAGCCCCCAGCTCATAGCACTTTGTGAACTTTATCAGTGAAAGTTTTTTCCATGTTCCTTTTATTTTTGGCCCTTTATCCTCATTCTACATGCCCATTCTCTTCCTGGCTCATATGCATCTCTTATAATGTGTTTATACCTATACATCTGCTTGAAAGATATATAATTTAGTTATGTGTGTGTTTACCTTACATCATGATGTTTGACAATTTTGTTTTTTGGTTTTTTGAGACAGGCTCTTGCTATGCAGTCCAGGCTGGCCTCGAACTTGTGGGGATCCTCCTGCCTCAGCCTGCTGAGTGCTGGGATTACAGGTGTGCACCACCATGTGTTTGCCAGTTTTTAAAGATGAATTTATTTTTCCTTAGGCACATCTTAAAGTGGGGTTTCTGAAAGGGATATAAAATTCCATATTTGTTTTTACTCCATTTTAATTTACTGTTCTTCCAGCTGTGGAAATCAAAGATTTCATGGTCCATGCTGTAACATCATAGCAAACATTCTCACATGCCTATAGTGTGTAATTTGCATATATAAATCCTTATTTGAGAATTTGAGGGATTTAGCCACCAAAGAAGAATCTCTAGATCATAGGGCCTATATATAATTAATGTTGCTAAGTGCAGACACATCATTTAGCAGAATGTCTATCAGTTTACATTCTTACCCACTGTGCATGAGAATTCTTGCTTCCTCATATCTTTGCCAACCTTTACTATTATCTACCATTCTTACTTTGCCCTTCTTATGGGTATTAAGTACCGTCTCAGTATTTGTTTTAGTTTCAATTTAATCATCTTTTTATATATTGTTAGCCACTTAGGCTTCTGTTTCTGTAAATGTATTCATATCTTTGCCTACTTTTCTGTTGGGCTTCCTATGATGCTCAGGTTGAATTGGAGACTCTTCTTGTACATAATATTTAGTCCCTTGTCAGTTTTAAATGTTGTAAGATCTCTTCCTTGCTTTCTTTCCTCTTAATTCTGTTCATGGCGTTCTTTACTAAACAGCAATCCCTAATATTGTTGAAGTCAAGTCCAACAGCTTTTTATTTTATGTTTTGTATTTTCAGTCTTATTTATAAAGTCTTTTCTCTCTAGTGCTTTTTGCTCCAGTGGTTCTTCATACACACTGGTTTACATATCCTTTTGGAGATATGTCTTTCTTTTCTTACCTGTGACCCTCAGGAGGCTTATGGCATTAACTTTTGGCTGCTCTTGATGGAGAGAAAAAAGTGTCAAAATCTAAGCCTTGTTTATCTGCTCACAAGATTGGGCTCCTTTAGCCATATTTATACTCTATGAATTGAGACTGCTCAGTTATAGCTGATTGGAAAGGGACACTTACCTAGCCACACTATGTACTCAGTGTTCCTCCCTGGAATTTAAATGAGTTCCAGTCTTTACCTGGCCTCTTGAAGGACATGGAAGTTGAGATGTTTTGGGGTGACCATCTTCTACTTTGTGCACAAAGAAGCTAGAGAAATGGCCCAAAGAGAAAAGAGTGTGAAGACACGCACAGAGAGGCACAGAAAAGTCCTATGACCCCACAGACAGGGACAGAGTTTGTGCTAGAATGTGACTGTAGCTGTCTGTCCTGGATCCCGATGGATTTCCAGTTTCTGGTTCTACTCTCTCCCAGGGCACATTATGTTCTTTATCTGTATCAGATAAGCATGGCTAACTGCTGTAACAGATGGACTCCAAAGTAGGTAGTGGCCCTAGCACAATAGAAGTTTATTTCTTCTCATACAAGCAGATCCAGAGGGCTATAAGTTAGCAAAGTGGTGGCAGTGGACGGCCCTCTACCACATGGTTATTCAGGAACCCAGGTTGATGGAGGCTGTGCCATTTGTAACATATGGTTTCTGAGGTCTCCCTGTCATCATACTACAGAAGAGAAACAATATGGGGTTGGATACATGGGAGGCTTTGTAAGCCAGACCTTAAGCTACTACAGTCAGTCACATTCCTTTGGCTGGAACCTAGTCGCAAGTCATATTTAGCTCTGTGGGAGGCTGAAAAATGTATTCTAGCTATGGCCACAAAAGTAAGAGAAAAGGCATTTGGTGAATAGCTGGATATTACCACAAGATATTTAATATTTGTATGATACATCCATATCCTCTTAGTCTAGTTTCTGTTTTTTCCTAAACTTGTTCCATTTGGTTTGTATTAATTATACCTTGATGCAGGAGGTGTTTTCATGTAGCCATACTTAAAATGTTGGAAGAGAAAAAGACAAATTCATTTATTTTCCCAGGAAAATTGGGGCGGTTACCCCCTATAATGCATCATCAACCAGCACCCTCAGATGGCCAGACTCCTGGGGGTCGTTTCCAGAGGTCTCACCTTGGAGAGGCATTTGCAAAAGCCAAAGGATCAGGTGGAGGCACTGGAGGAGGTGGTGGAAGAGGCCTGATGGGGCAAATTATTCCAATCTATGGCTTTGGGATTTTTTTATATATATTATACATTCTATTTAAGGTAAGTGGAATCATCTTAATCGTCATATCAGTGAAAGTCTAATATCATTGTTAAAAAAATCATTGTCTACATCAAAGCCCATTAGAGTTCAAAAAGCTCGTTCAAATCTATCATTGCCCTGAACCTTGCCTCCTTTTTTTGTGAGGTACTTAGAATAGCTATTCTCTTACTTTTACAGATGAGAAATCTTGGCTCAGAGTTTAAGTTGCTCTAGAATTTACCGCTAAAAAGGCACAACTAGGACTTGAATCTGGATCTTCTGATTTCTAAGTCAATGAGCATCATAGTTCAAAGCCAAGAAGTAGGGAATATCTATGCAACTGAAAAGACGAAAATATATTCTTAGAAGAGCATTAGGATTGGCACAGTGATTTCCAAGTAGCCGCTGTGAAACCAAACAATGATAGCACCAAAACCACTTTGTCTCATTTTTTCCTACAAAAGTGTGAGATGCTTTTTTTTTTTTAATTTTAAAAATAAAAGGAGGAAAACATTAACAAACAGACAACATTTTACAAAATAGCAAAAGAACAGTACAGACAATATGGAGTTGCAAACAAGGTGGTAGGGAATTAACAATGCTTGTTGTATTACATATTGATATCTTCAAAGTGGTTTCTCATGAAAACAGATAGAGACATGCAATATTGATCAACCAAGGACTCATTGACAGTTTCTTTCAGCAAAGAAGCAGAAGACAGTAGAACAGCCATGTTAGCTATCCTGCTGAGATGCTATTTTTAATATCCTCACCAACAATGTCCCTGGACTATTAGTTCCTAATCTAGTGGGTAATATAATTCATATCCAAAAGGAAGAAGAAGACAGTGTTTTTGCAAGTGGAAGAGGCAGGCATAAAAATGTTATTGTTTTGGGGAGATAGGGTATAGGTCTTTTAAAAGCAGACCCCCAAGGAAGTTCTTTCTCTACACAGGATTTTGTAGGCCCCTGGCCTAGGCACTGTGAAGTAAGGGCAGAGTCTTCACTTTGTGCTCCTAACTAGACTGAGGTTACTTTTTGTTTGTTTGTTTGTTTCTTCTTGACTAGGAATTCTTCAGGCAGCCTCAGCTGAGTCTGTAAGAATTGTCCTGGATAGTTGTACTTCCCCTTGTGGATGAGCCTGGGGAAGACCGATGACCTGAGGAAGTTTTTTTCCTTGCATCTTGATTTTTATTTGGCTATCTTCTCAAATCTCTCACTAGCCTTTTCGCCCCCCAGATATTTCTCTAATGTTGCTATTTGATTTGATTTCTGATTTAATTTTGTTTTCCAACCTCTTTTTTTTTTTCATTTACTATGAGGGGTTCCATGACTTTGAGGTTCTGAGCTGCTGTTGATGTGCTGTACCTCCTTCAATTCTCAGCTTTCAAAGGGGAAAACTGCAGAGGATCGGAAATGCTCTACCATCACACCTGGAAACACCCACAGGAAAATTAGTAAGTGCCCCCTTCTCAGTAGATTCACAAATGTTACTGAGTTAGACAGCTATAATACAGCCCAAGGAATAATTTGTGGGTATGTCTTAAAAGCATTCCTCCAAAGTTGCTCTAAGTTAATTTGATACTCTTTTTACCTTAGCTCTGGGAATTCTCAGAAGTTTCTGTATTGGCCTTGGGCTTTTAAGGGAAAGATGCAAAAAAAATACAAAACCAACAGTTCCATTTTTATATATATTGGCAAATTAATATTTCACATTTAGAATGGATTATTTCTCATTTTTAGACTTCAGAATATTGGTAGAAGGTATCTTTATTTCATAGAGAAGAAAACTGAGGCAGAGAAATCATATCTTTGCCCAAATCACTTATCATCTGTAGGGAAAGAGTTTAACATTTTGGACTTTTGAAACTCAATCGTCAAATATTTATTGCACAGCTAGAATATCCTGTGCCCCCACCTCTGAGGAAATGAAATGTGTATAGCTTGGCTCTTTCCTCTTAGAATTTATAGACTAGAATGAATGTCAGGAAAAATAACCTGTGAAAAGTTTACTACCTAGAAAGAAGGGACTTGTCAAAAGCATTATGAGAAATTATGTCTGTCTGAGTAGCTATAAAGAAGAGGCTGTCAGAAGACGTGAGTAAGACACAACAGCCGTGAGGTCCAGAGCTTGTGGAGGTCAAGGGTGTTCACATGTGACAGCTGTGGGAAAGAAGTCTTGAAGAGGAGGTTAGGGCCAGATTGTTACCTTATAATTAAGCCTCACCAGATATTTCTAAAAGAAAGTCATCAGCAAGATGAAGTGAGACTGACCCATGGAAGCACCTGCTGTTGGCCATAACGGTTGTTTAAATTTCTCAATTCTCTCGATTCTCTATGGCATTAGATATCTCAGTCACATAATGATTCATTTTTAGAAATCTTAAATAGTCAAAGAGCTCTTGAAGAAGGCTGCTATATTCTTAATTGAGATACTGATGCTAAATACATCAGTAATTTGAAAAAAATTTGTAGACTCTCTAAAGAGTGGCACATCCTATATCTTACTGTAATGCATTTGTGACAGAATGAAGTAAATCAAATGAATTCCTAAGAGCAACTATTTTGTAATAATGATAGTAACATTGATAGCAGGTTTTTATCCTTTAATTTTGAATCATGTAGAGAATAAAAATAACCAAAATACTAGTAGCATAGTCCTCCAGACATTTTACAGATGTTAGCTGCATGCAGAAGAGTTTGTTCTAGCAGCATTAAATGGCCTTTGAAATATTGTATTTTATAATGATCCTGTCAATGTATTTGGGTAGAAAAATACTCAGGTATGAAATAGAAAACCTATATCATGTACATAATACACAGCACTTTATTTTCTTACTGCCTTACAGTTCATTTCACATACTGATTGAGTGATTTATTTTTTTCTATTCTATGTTTAGGGTCCTACTGTTAGTTTCAGTGGGTACTTGTGTTTTCTACCAACACTGGGTAAGAAAACTGCATCTGGGAAGACAGGGTTCCACCTTAACACTGCCTGCTCTTTATATCAGATAACAAGGGTAGGAAACTTTGGATGCAGAGGTGTCAGTCTTAGTTCAAGACTTTCTCCATTTAAGGAGTACAGCATTTATTAACTTTCAGATATGTTCTCAGACTTTAGGTGCAGGTAAAAATAGTGCTCATTTCAGAGTCTTAACTCCTTTTCTAAAGCACTATGCCTTATTGGTTTGGCACTTTACCCTCCGGCATCATTTGGAGCACAAAGTACGTGTTTGTTTTCTGCCTTTCTTCCTAGGTGACCATGTAGGCATGTTTTTCACTCCTGGGTATTTTTTTCAGTTTGTTCTACTATATTTCTTTGTGTAAGATGCCCTGATTTATGTATTACTCATGTAACTGTGTATCCTGCAGATCTTGGTGCCTAGCCATCTGTACCCTTTTTGACCTGAGAGACCATTGGTCTCTTCTCTTGAGAGTTTCAGAACCAGCCTGGGTCATCATAGAATGTCACAACTGGCTACATTTTGTGAAAGGACTTAGGGAATTGTGTGTGATGGCTTTGAGTTGATGCTTGTTTTTCAGCCAATTTTGAGCTTGCTCAACTGCAAGAAAAACTGAAAGAGACAGAGGAAGCCATGGAAAAATTAATCAACAGAGTGGGACCTAATGGTGAGAGGTAGGTTTTCATTTAACAAGACTCAAAAATTATTTCCCATTTAGAGAATCAGTTCAAATTTTGCTCTTCTTTGATGTGTAAGCCACTTTTTTCATCTTATGTAATTTTCAACTTGCCATTTGCATACCCTTTCTCAGTATTTTCATTTTCATGCTATCAACCAGCCTGTCTTCAAGAGTTTAGTGTGAGAGTGAGTATTCTGAGAGTGAGTAAATTCTGCAGTGTGAAATAACCCAGTTTTTATGGAGGAACATTTCCTAGCTGTCTGAATATAATGTATAATTTTAGGTAAAACCAGATTATTGAATAATTGGGGCCAAATAAGAGAAGAAAACAAGTATTAACATATCAAGTACTTGTGTTTTGTGTTAACTGCCTGCTAACACAGAATTAGACATGTAAAATTAGTGTGGAGAGCCAACGTAGCCTTTTAGGATCCGCCACAGGGAAGCTACACTCCTCTTACTATCATTCTGGCCAAAGACCTGAAAAAGTAGTTGCAGGAGGTTGATGGAAATGGCAACAACTAAGAAACTGTGGATGTAGGAAGGGTAGGGAGGAAAATCTAAACAGAGATGGCAGACAAAGGTTTCAATTTCAGATAGGTCTTTTAATAAGGATAGAGGAAAAATTTTGGGATGACTAGCAAAATCTCACACATTAGATTGAACACATAAGGTTGAAAGGTCACACATAAGGTTGAAAGGTCCCCCCTGCAACTTCATTGGCACATCAGAGAATTTCTGCTCCAAGAAACTGCTGTTTCACCTTGGCCTGTTGTTTGTTATCTTTGATGGTACTAGTGCTCCATACCATTTCTGCTGCTCACTGGTCTCAGCTTGTTTGCCTGTCTTTGACTGGATAGAAGATAAGTGGGCATCCTCAGATTGCGGCCTCATGGCCTGACATTTTCCTGTAGTGTCACCAGTGCTGTTGAAATGATGTTTATGAGAATGAACCTTGGCTACTAGGCCTAGGAGCCTTGACCTTGTGGTCCAAAAGCAGAGTTACTATCTGGAATATTCCCTAAAGTAGTGTATATACACGAATATATCTGTGTGATTGCATAATAGTTGATATTTGAGTACTTGTTAAGGATTATGCTCTTACCTGACAGATATATATAGGTATATCTCACAGATAATATCTATCTATATTATGTACCTGTGAGTAATTAAACTAATTATACTTCATTTATATTTATAGTTTTCTGCCCTTACTATGTACCTGATGCTTGTACCTGATGTACCACTCACAGTCTTTTGTAGATCCTCATGCCCTAAAAAAATACCTGCACCCTGACCTGGGCCACTGCAAGTCCCAGGCCACACCTAAGCATGTTGAAAACTGTAGATGAGTATCTGTAGGCCCTTCATTTAAGGGAACCAAACCCTGGGTTTTAGGGTAAAAACCACATGAAAATATTTTCTTATTATTACTCATTGTTATGCAGACTCCCTTAGCTCAAAGCAAGTGGTTTACCCAACTCATGCACGCTGTTACCCAAGCAAGAAGTGCAGTTCTGTAACCTCTAATTACTATCTGTCCTCTTTGTGCCAGGGTTACTTCTCTGTTTTATGTGCAGAGATAGGAGAGTTGTCCCTGCTCTACAGCTGGGGTGATTATACTATCTTACTATTTCTGGAGCCACAGGTTCTAACCCAGTATTTTACTCCTTTTAAAATGCTGAGCTAGGTATGGTGGCACACATTTTTAATCCTAACTATTTAGAAGGCTGAGGTGGGAGGATCACAAGTTTGAGGACAGCCTGGGTGACTTAGTGACTCAGTGAGACACTGCCTCAACATAAAAAAAATTGTAAAAAAGGGGTATCAATGCAAAAGCCCTGGGTTCAATCCCTAGTACTGCTGAATGAAGGGATGATGAATAGAAATGGTCTAGGGATGTAGCTGATGGTAGAGTGCTTACCTAGCACATGTGAGGCCCTGGGTTCCATCCCCTAGTACTATACTCACAAAAAAGATGTGGAGCTATAGATTGCTTAGAACATACTGATTTGAACCTGCAACATGGCAAAGATGGGTAAAAATTTTCCATAGTACTTCTCAGGTACCGGGAGATAGCTCTTCTCCATGAAAAAGACCATGGCTCCTGGCTCTTCCTGTCTCATTTTCCAGTCCTTAAGATGTAACTTTCTCCTTGGCATTTCTCCATCTAACACCTTTTATCCTTACAGGTACACCCGATGGAACTTCCATACTCAAAACCATAAGGGTTTAAGTAACCTCCATTTCCACATTCCTTTCCTTTTCATACTTACAGTTTATATCCTTTAACCTCAGTTTCTGTTGCATTCATTCTTTCAGAAGTCTGTATTTCTATGATGATTTTAAAAGGCTCAAATACTGCAGTATTTTTTCTATCTGGTAAGAATTTTTTTTACTTCCCCAGATTTCTGGGGATCAGAAAGAGGATTTGAGACAAGGAAGACATGTTCATTCCAGCCTTCTAGGTCCTTGTATATACTGTTTATTCCGTAACTCCAAGACATTGGCTTGAAATTAGAAAAATATATAATTCCTAATATCTTACATATGTTTGTGTAGGAATAGAAATATGGGAAAGGTTTTTAATATTGTCTAATAACCCTTTTTAGACACTTTCACCTATGACTGATGTAAGTCTGTACACATTTAATTAAACCTCCTGGAAGGTCAGTATTATGTCATGTTATGTCTGATATCAGGCTTAATATACAGCTCTGGGATGCAGTCTAAGGAAAGGATCTCAGAATGAGAAGTGAGGTACCCTCATTTCTGTCCTCATGATCATGAAAATTTTCTTCCTAGAATAACATGTCCATTTGGGCAGATTTACTTGGTAGAAGGATGGCATGTCCTGAGGGAAGCAACGAGGGGATAATCTCTGGTGGCAAAGAGCCCCAGCAGGCAAGCTGAATATGCTGACATGGGTTTCAGGAATGTTAATTCTTTGAAGACAGGCTTTGTTTTGTTCAGGTAGTAGGTAGTAAGTAAATATTTGTTGAGTAAGAATATTCACTTTTGATTATGAGATATGTTCAGGATACACAGTAAATGTTTAAATTTTTAAACGTTTATTGTAGTATGAGACGAATTGCCATTAATACCCCTCAGAATATGGCCTCTCACTTTAAACACATATATCATTATTCTTGTCAACTTGTGAAGCAGTTGTAGAAGTCCTCTTGTGCGAGTATCTTCACAAGGTATGATAAAAAAATACAGTGAATAGTCCTTTTGCATGCCATCCATTGGAAAGGCAGGTTCATAAAAACATTACAGTGTGTCCTCATCCATCTCTGTGCAACTCTGGCTCTTCTTTCAAAGTCAAAATGACCATAAAGGGTAAACATTTTGAACTGATTCAAGACATTGAGGCAGCCATGACAGTGCCACTAAAGACACAAAAGGAGACTTTCAGAACTGCTTCAGAAAGTGGTAAAAATGACAGGGTAAGTGTGCTTGAGGAAAGGGGGAGTATTTTGAGGGAGATTAATGGCAGTGTGTCTTCTCCTGTCATAAAGTTTACAAAATTTAAGCATTCACTGTAGTTTTCAATCACATCCTATAAATTTTATGTTATTTTCATGGTAGAAGAGTAAATCATGGCCATCCCCCATTGAGATCCTTTTCTTTGGTTCTCCAGCTCTACATTCAGAGCCCTTTTGGACATATTTCATAGATACATACCCTGGCCTCATGAAATAATAAATGCTGTTTGATAAATGTCCAGAATGGAATTCATTGTGTACCCTGAGTTGAGCTCTTGTGCCTTTAATATGCCTGTTGCTGCAGATTGTCCCATCATCAGTTAGCTGCCAAAACAGAAACAGCCATGCTCCACCTTTTCCTTCATTTCCTGTGTCTCATCTGTCACCGTGTCTTGCCATTTCCACCTAATTAATAAGTTAATTTGTGCAAAAACTGTAAACTCCACAAAGGGCAGAGATTATCGGTTTTAGTTCCAGAACCTAGCACAGGCCCGTAGTAGGCTCTAAAAAAAGTATTAGTTGAAATGGAAGAAAGAATGAATGAGTGAATGGTTTTGTCTTTGGCACAGGTCAGAACTCTCTCATGCGGTTTCTTTTTCTCTAATTTTGTTGCCCTTCAGTATCTGCTTCCCACATGGATAGATTATGACTTTTGTTTTGATCCTTCATTAGGTATTCTCTCCTTTTTTAAAAATGGTAATGAGGATTGAACCCAGGGTAATCACTCTACCATTAAGCTAGAGCCCTCAGACCTTTTTTAAAATTTTGAGATAGGGTCATACTAAGTTTCCCAGGCTGGGTTCAAACTTGCAGTCCTCCTGCCTCAGCCTCAGGCTCCTAAGTAGCCATGATTACAGGTGTGTGCCACCATACTGGCCAGTAGATCCCTTTTGGTCTTGAAAAGTGCAGACTGTTTAGCAGAGCCTACATAGCTCTGAGTGCCCTGTCCTTGCATACCTATATTGCTTTATCTTTCTTCATTATATTCATTTTCTCCCTCTTTCTCCTTCTCTCCCTCCCTCTCCCTGTCTGTCTCTCTGGTTCAGCTATGCTGACTATTTATGTATCTTCTGAAATACCTATGCACTTTGCTTCTAGGACTTCACATACACTTTTTCTTTTGCCTGAGATGTTGTCTCCTACCCCCATTGCACACATTTTGACTTTTGCTTGTCTGGTAGGTTTCAACACAGGCATCATTTTCTCTGAGAGCCCGCAGAACATGGCTAGGTATGCCTCATGTGCTCCCATATCACCTGGGCTTGCTGGGTATTACTTGTATCATACCTTCCATTATGTCTGGTAACCTTCTTGAGGGTGTAGAACTTCACTGTTAACATTTGCATGCCTTGTGCTGGCATACTGACAATGTCAGCACATCTAGAAGGGATGGATAAGGTAGACCTGGAGAAGATACTCTACAAGAGGCAGCTTCAGCAATAGTAACTACTTGTTTGGAACCTCTTCATTTGCTCCACACAGTTCTGTGTAGTTGTCAGTGGCAGCT